TGCGCTCCACAAAGGTGTCAGTGATAATAATAATAATAATAATAATAATAATAATAATAATAATAAGCAAAATATTCATTTTCATGAGGACACAAAAGGGGGAGATCAACAACTTAATAATAAGCATCATAATAATAATAATAATAATTTGATTGTCAAAGCATCATTGCAGTGAACTTGAACATACAACAGGTTTACACATCAGTGAGTCTTCTAGGCCTAATTCACCATTTAATCGGTGGAAGAGGAACACAAAGAAAAAGAAAACACATTAAAAAACAAACCAAAAATGATCCTATACTCGTCTTTTTTTTTAGCGTGTGTGTGTTTTTTTTTTAAATCACCATGAACGTGCCAACACTTGCGTAATGAGGTAGCCACACAGCTATACCGTGTGAATGTGTGTGTTCGTGCGTGTGTTTGTGTGTGTGTGTTTCTTATTATTGCAATGCATTCACTTGGGGAGGTTATTTTCATATTTTTGGAGCCATAAAACGCACAGAAAACCCCCCTCTCCCCCCTTTACGAGTAAACCATGCAATGGGTTACAGTTATTGTGCCTCATAAAGTCGCCACAGACCGACACTGGTACTCCTTTTTGTCCGATCTGTTCCCCAAAAACTATTGAATACCCTACAGAAACGAACACCTGGGAGAAAAGACAGCGAAAATTCAATACATTTCAATGAGCTTTTCCACACACGGAGGTGCAACATATTCACAAATATGTACAATGATAAATATAAAAAAGCTATTCCGACTAAGGAGGATAATATCAATTATTCCTCGATCATTATTCTGCTTATTTTTTGTACAATAATTGCCATAAGAATTAAGTGGGACGGAGCATTGCCCCCCCATCTTTTTCCGCCACGATGGTGATCACTTCCTCCCACATCTCGGAGAGCATCGGCCTCTTCTGTGGAGAACCATAAAAGATTTGAGAGTCTCGAGTTTTTGGACAGGGGTCTCAGTCTTTTTCTCCCAGTCCCGGTGCTCCGTCTCCGCTGTCAGAATCAAAAAAAAGGTACACCGTTGAATCCAGTTGTTTTTTGCAGCTACGTGAGGCTGAACCTTCCAAAAAACAATGATAATTTAAAAAAAAAAACAGTTCCTGCATACTGAGTGGAGAATAGTCATCAGGTGTCCCGCATCCAAACCTCTCAGCGCCTCTACAAACACAGCTAAAGGGCTCCAGGGTTTTTTCTTTGCCGCTTCAGAAGCAACATAAGTTGCTGCCTGTGTTGAATACTTTCTGTGAAATCGTTTCCACATCTGGATTTCAGGCACTGGTGCAAAAAAAATTAAAAAAATAAGAATAAACACGGCTGTGAATGCTGCTCCTTTACAAGGTGGACAACACTGTAATGGTTCTTAACAAGACATTTAGTCCATTTTTAGTCAGAAAATGTGTTTTTTTTTTCTTCAATAAATAACGAATTCAGCCAATGAGGTGGCAGCTTCTTACATTTTCGATGCAGTCTCATTTGAAAGCAAAAAAATCACACTGGTTAAATAACTAACTGTTATCTTAAGACTCGGTGAGATGACTTGTTGAGATGGATAATCTGGCTGTGTGTGGAACTGGTCCAGCCCCAGTAACCAGAGGCACAACGGTGTACCTTGTTTTTTCTGACAGTGTGCAGCAGCAGCTTGTCTCTGATTTGTCTTTTTGTAAACGGGGCAGAGACCCGCGGGTTTCCCCACGCTGGTCTTAGTGCGTCGCAGAAAACTTCATCCGTTTCTGCTTTTGCCTCTGATTGCAAAACCAAACCCGGACCACGTTCTTTTTCAGGTCCAGTTTCTCGGCGATTGCGGCGATCTTCTCCGACGAGGGCCTCGGCTGCACGGCGAAATAAGCCTCCAGGGAGCGCTTCTCGGGGGCGGCGATGGACGTTCGTTTCCTCTTTTTGTCGCCCCCGTTGAAGATCTCCGGCTTGGCCATCTTCTCCCTCTGCGCCCGCTCCGCCTCCTCCAACCAGGCCTCCAGGATCGGCTTAAGGGCTACCATGTTGTTGTGCGACAGCGTCAGGGACTCGAACCTGCAGATGGTACTCTGGCTCAGACACCCGACCCCGGGGATCTTAAGGTTGGCCAGGGCCGCGCCAACGTCCGCCTGGGTCACCCCGAGTTTGATCCTCCTTTGTTTGAACCTCTCGGCGAACGACTCCAGTTCCCGAGGATCGGGCTCCGAGTCTAAGCCAGTCCCCAAGGAGCTGTGGGACCCCAGCCCGTGTGGGTGCATGTTCATGGACTGTGAGTGATGGTGGTGCTGCATGTGGTTGATGGCCGACATGTGGGCTGCGTGGGCGGTGTGAGAGGCAGTGGAGCAGACGTCCGAGCCGGCCATGCCTCCCAAAGAGATGCCCGGTGTGAGGTGGTCCAGCAGGTCTCCCTCCAGGCCCTGTGACGGCTGGTGGTGCGCCGGGTGGTGGTGGTGGTGGGAGCTGAGCACCGACGGGTGGTGCAGGTGCGCGGAGGAGGAGGTCGGGGTGCAGGTCATGCTGGTCATGGTGGTCATGGTGTGGTAGGTCGCGTCTGGTTTGAACGGATGACTCTTCTGGGCCACAATGTCCACAGCGGCCAGAGCCTCGGCTCTCTGCAGCAAAGTCTCATCAAAGCCGGCGAAGATGTTGCCCTGAAGCTGCGAGGGGAGAAGAGTCAGACTGCTTAGAGAGGAAATCTGACAGAAATCAACATATTGATTTAATCATAACCAGTTTCAACAACGTTTTTTTTTTTCCACTGTGCCTCCATCATGCTCAACCTTTCTAATATGGATCACCCCAAGCATGGACTATTTTAATTTTACTGTAAAAACACCCATGTTCAGATTTCTTTCTATTTAATTAGAAATTAAGCCTAAACTTTAAAAGGTAAAAACTGGTCAAAAGAGAAAAAAATGACTCGCTGCAGATTAATATCAGTCAGATGGAGCTGTTCTTATTTTTACACACTAAATATTTGACACCATTCTCAGCTTCTCGTATAAGTTTCCATTTCTAGCTGTGAGATGAACTAACTAACTTTAAAAATTGAATATTAAGCAGCGTAACAAGCGTGGACATGTTTAGGGTACTATCTCAACTATGCACAATATGTAAAAGTGTCCTTACAGCTTCGATGCAAAGACAACAATTAACTTTACATTTTCATACAACTTTCACTGAACTTCGTTTCTTACTCGTCAAACAATGTAATCTAATGCAACTTGGACATCACTGGATCTGCCCAACGCCTAGAAAGTGTGTCAGCGTGGATGGATATTCATTTAAAATTAATATTTACGATCTACTGAATAATTTCTACGGACAATGAAATGAGACCAGTGTGAGTTTGAATATGAATGGGACAATATGAGATAACACGCGCTTAGAGAATCCACGCCGGCTCTTCTTCTTTTTTTTTGCTTCCTCCTTCATCTTTTATCTCCTTTCACTTTTAGCAGCATCACTTGCACTTGCCTGAATGCAGGATTTGGCTTCTCGGAGACGCATTTGTGAGCCTTTTTGCGCACAGACGTGCTGCTCTAAGTGACCATAGTGTCTTGTTTTCTGTGTCTGGTGCTATCTGATCCATCCTGTCATCTCCATATGCCAGTTGGCTCAAATGTTGTGTTAGATTTTATATTTAATTTATTGATGTAATTTTGTTTTTTGCAGTTATGCCTAATTTCCTCTACTGTGTCCAAACAGGACGCCTTTATTGCTTCCTGTTTTATGGTTGTTAAATTGGAACATTTTTACTTTAGTGACCAAAATATGTATTTTCTGCTTAAATTTCAGGTTTACTTATATTCCAGAAATGGATGTAGAACTCATATTACAACTATAATGCGTCAGAATATAATCCAGGGCCAATTCTTCCTGTGTGAGTCTGTGCGCAATAAACCCAATACCTAATAATTCACGAGCTATCTTCTGTAAAAGTTATCAGATTCACCAGGCACAAAAAA